TAGACAAAGTCTGTCTGTCTTAATTCCAATTTAGGTGTTCGGAGTTGTCGTGATTTTCTTAAATATTATCTCAACCAAATCGGAGCCTACGACGTATTTGTTGACAAGTTTGGCCTAGTGATAATGCAAAATCTAGGTTACGTGTGCGTGATGAACAATGTATCAAAAAAACTAATATGCTTAACTATTCTGGTCCTTACTATTTGGTTCTACACGTTAAATGGTGAATCTATAGCAGTTTGTATTTCAAAGAATAATTTTATAAATTCATGTTGTTTTTCCTTTCATTTCATTTTAAAATACGAATCGGTATTTATTAATTTTTATGTTGGAAAGGCTTCCAAGCGGAATGAAAGATAGTCCAACATCAACCTATTAAGGGATTGTTCGCAAACAAGTTTATCAGTTTGGACTAATTAGAAACCTGATGAGGATTGCACCAAAGTTGTGAATGTTGATGTTTTCGCCCAAAACTCATTCGTCTATTCAACTATCATTATTTTATTGATTGTGAATATATATCATATATTCCATTTACCGGTTGTCTCGCAGACCTACATATGAACGACAAATAATTAATGTATTCGATTGTTATATCAATCCTCTACAATCCCTCCACCGAATGTGATTTGGGAAAATGTCTGGTCTTCCTTGAAATTCACCTCTGCCCTGTGACCCATGCGCACTTGTGGCAATGTGGCGTTGTGGTTAACGTGTCAAGATTACATTCTGCACTGTCCCAGTTCGGGTCCCGCTAGAGATGCTAATGAAACCAGATTAGGTGAGATGGGAACTTCACTGCCATCGCTGTGGATGAGTATGTAAAATTTGATAAAAACGTAAGATCTAGTCATGACATTGTGGGAAACTTCAACTTCTAGAAATAGGGTGTGTACATATCATATATTTGGCTTAGTAATACTCTAAAGCCTAGCATACTTCTACGTGATGAACAATGTTGCAAAAAACTATTAACCGACTTTTACTTCGAGATGAATAAACGAGTCATACTTAATGATCAAGCTTCTTGTAACCTTAATTTTTTTCATATGTTCCAGATTTTTCTCATTTTTGGTGCAAACTTGAAAATGGGAAAATGCATTACAGGGGAGATGAGCCTGGTGGGAAGCCAGAAAGTTTACAAATCTGAATTTCATAACTTAGTCCTTCACATCAACTTGTGTGCCACAACAGAAGTGTGGGATCTCATCTCAGATGTTGCCCAGTCCGTTGGTTTAATAATATTACTTTCTTCTGATGGGCTGACAGAATACCAATCTCGTATGAACACCTTGTACATGAGTTAGTCAAGAGCCAACCTATCTAGTTCAAGCATATCCCCTAAATGGCATTTTGCGTATATATTCACTGTTTGTGCGACTGCACTCCGACGCCAAATACATGCTTATCTCATCTACAGCATGGCCTCTCTTAAATCACACTTATGGTGGGATTTTCGGTGAGGCGGGTCTTGATGAATTTCATGAGATAACATTATTGTGGAGATATTAAGCAAAAACTGAGTTTCGACGAATTGCCTGGTGATATATTGTGACATGACTTACCGCTTCGAAAGAGAAGTTGGTTGGAATAAATTCATGATGTGGTGTTATCGGAAAACGAAGGAGGATTGCCGCGTAGGTAAAACGCTTATATTGGATGAAGAAGTCTACGAAATGCTACCCTACGACCCCGATGTAATAGATTTTGGCACTGATGTTGCCTGTCCCAGTACAGACGAAAGCTTAGTACAGTTTAATCGAGGTCGCAGGACGGTAAAGCGTTAACTTCTTCTCACAACACAATGAGAGTTTTCCCTACGCGGCAATCCTCCTTCGGTTTCCGGTGAGACGACATCACGAATTTGTTTCAACCAACTTTTTCCTCGAAACGGGAAGTCGTGTCACTATTGTTGTGTAGACTTTCATTTGATATGAAAATTAATGATAAAGGGTTATTTGGGTCGATCTAATCAGAAGACGACGGCTTATTTATGCTGTTCTTCAACCGTTTGGTCTTAATAAGACGTTTTGGTTGACTCAGTTCTTCCTTGTTTCGGATAAAACGAGTGGTTGGTGAAAGAATTCGAGGGTCGATTCCACCGAAAGACGACGACCAGCGGATTCCTCTTGACCAGCTGTTGATTGGCTTTACTGAAACATTCATGTTGATGCTGTTTCCGAGGCAATCTGCTTCTGTTCCGGTGACAATGTGCCAAGCTTTCATCCGTCACGTGACGAACAACATCTTAGTATAAAGACCAAGATGGTGTGGCCTTTTGTGTGGTCGCAGTCTCCTTTCGTTGAATAGAAGTTGTTTG